ACCCCGGCAGTCACGCTTGCTCCTGGGGCGATGCATTCTGGCCCCTCCCTCTCCAGGGGATGGAACCTGTCAGAGGAGGAGAGACCCACTCTGGGGCCAGAGGCCAGCAAAAATAACTTTCCTCTGGGGATGTCTCATTTCTGTGGCAGATGCTTTTGCGTGAGGCAGAGGAGAAAGAAATGAAGGTGGCGGTGTCCAAAGCCTTGGGTCTTGTCCTTGTGCCAACACTTGCTGTCTAGGGCAGGTGGGCTGTGAGAGCCAGCAGTCAGCTGCAAGGGGACTGGCCCTGTGAGGGGGATGGAGAAACTGCAGGGTCTCAGGAGGTGACAGAGGTGATGGAGGCTGACAGGCCTGGCCTTAGGTACTGACTGTCCTGCCAGAACAAGTCTCTGAGCCCAAGTCCAAAGAAAGGGCTGAAAGGAGAGACTCTGGAGGAAGGGGCTGGCCACGCCCTGGCACAAACCTCACTCACATTTTCTTCCCTGGGTGGTCCCTGCATCAACATCCCGGCCATCCCAGCCAAGCTGCCACCAGCCACGGAACCTGGTGCCACTAAGGAACGAAGTGAAATTGAGGTTGAGAGACCACAGGCGCAAGCGGATTTTAACTCTGAGACCGGTTTTCCCTCGTGAAACGAGCCTCGGGAGGCAGTGGCAAGGTAGGGGGGCTGTGTCTGTGTGCTGGGGCCACAGGAAAACGTTGGGAACTCTGTCACTGCGTGGAAGCCAAGCAGGGCGGGCCGCCAGAGGACAGGGCAACAGAATGGTGGGATCCACTGGGCGGCGGCTCCTCTGGGGCAGCCCGATTGGGGCGCTCCGTGGTCTGTTGGGGAGCGAGATTGGCCCTGGGAGGGAAGGAGGGAGAGCCGGGCACTCTCACGGGGCCCAGGTGCTGGCTGCCCCGGGGTCATGGACACCCGCTCCCAGCCGGTGTTCTAGGTGTTCCCCTGGGCAGGGTGCCCTAGGCGCTTGGGGAGGAAGGCACTCGTGTCCTGAAGTGCTTTCACGAAGGAGAGCCCAGCGTCCAGCTTGTAAAGGTTTCTCCTTGGTTTCAAAGTGATCTTGGGGGGGGCGGAGAGATGTGGGAAGGAAGGATGGCCCTCCTGCCCCGTTCACCCTGGAGATGAAAACCCTCCCCACTCCCCCATCACACACTCTTTGACCCCAGTGCTGCATGTTGGTGCCTTGGCAGGTGCAGAGGTGTTTTTGTTTTATTTTGTTTTGGTTTTTAAAATTACAGTCTAGCTGGGGAAATTCCGTGATTAGAGGCTGGGGTTAAGGGGTATCTGCTTCCTCCCAGTGTACACCTTTGTCCTGGCAGCTGCCACATGCTAAGTCACCATCTGCCCAGAAGACTAAAAATGGGACGCTCCGCTCCTTTTTCTCAGGCACCCCAGCCCTTTGCCTCGAGGCTCTCCAGGACCTAAGTCTGGGGTCCCTTTGGCATCTGGCATACCCCCTTTCTGGGACCCAAGCAGAGTGGGCTCCTGGCGGGAGCCTGAGACAGTCCCTCAGGCGGGGCCCTCCCGGCCAGGCTCTGGGCTCTGGCAGAGTGTCCAGTGGCCTGAGTGTCTGGATTAGGATGACTGACCAGGACGGGCTGCAGGCGTCTGGCAAATGGAAACAACGAAGGCAGCAAACACCAGCGCGCCCCTGCTGTTCGATTCTGGGCGGAGCTAAGGCGGGAAGGCCCGCGGCAGAGGGGCCCAGGCTCCAGGCAGGGTGGCTCTGCTGGGACTGAGCTGTGGGCAGGACCGGGTTTGGAGCAGGGCTGACAGAACTATGGGACACGGCAGGTGCCCGTGGAGACCGGGTTTCGTTCGCTACAGTCTAGTTTCATTCTCTGTGGTACTGCCTTGTATAACTCTTATTGGATTATTTAATTTTAATTTTCCTGTGTTTGTGTCTCAGGTGGGACACAATGTCTTAAAGTTCTTTATAATCCTCAACAGAATGTATAATGGATGCTTAGAAACACTTGCTTATTAAGTAACAAATTTTCTCCTCATTTCGTTGCCTTGTAACTGAGCTCAGCACGATCTTGGGCCAGCTCCCATCTAACCCAGGAGCGAGCCATTTTAGGAGCAATAGAAATTCAGCCTCCTCTTGCTCCACCCTGCGAAGATTTTCAGTCCTGTCCTCTAGCCAGTCCTGCTCAAGGTCATCTTCAAGGTCACAGCCAGAGCCAGGAACACCAGTCAGGACTTCCTCCCAACTGATAGTCCAATAACTATGATGTCCTTACTTTATAAATATTTTACACTTTATTATAAAAGGACCAGAGCTACAGGGAAGTTATCTGTCACCTGTCAGCTCTCCCTTGCCACCTCCGTTCAATCAGTAGCAGGCGAGAGGGCTTCAATAAGTTGGAGGAAAAGCTCCAGAAAACATACAGATGGAAAGCTCACTAGGGGATGGTCAGAACCTGGAGTGAAGGTGTGAAGAGAGAGGATGCAGCAGCAGAGAAGGTGGGTGAGTGGCTTTCGGTGGAAGAGATAAGAAAATAGTGCTGAGTGGAGAACACCGCCACGGGAGGTCTGGAGGGGTATCAGTGGGTGAGACTGCAGGCCACACCAAATCCCTTCCCGTGTGCCCACCCACAACCCAACAAGCCAAACCTGCAGGGTGCCCACAATAGACATTTAGAAAAACTAAGGGATTGGGGAGGAAGAGGGAAGAACCATCTCAATAAAAGATGTTTATGATCTTTTTTGGAATTTTTGTTTCCTCTGGGAGTGGAGAGGGTGGAGAAGGAAATAAACACTCTTTTCCTCTCAGATCCTATTTTTTTTTCATTAAAAAAGAAAAAGAAGGGTAAGGACCCTGGGAACTGAGAGACAAGCCTATTTACGCACACTCTAAATAACAGTAAATGGCAATAGATTGGTCCTGAAGCCCAGGGGCTCTGTTCTCAGGGTCCCCCTTCTCACAGCCCCACCTGACAAGCCAGATCTGGGCACTGCCCTCTAAGGCTCCCAAACTTCCACCAGTTGTCCTGCCCCTCCCAGCACCCAATGTCCTGTACTGGTTCCCACCCCAAGTGTCCATCAAACACCTTTTCATTCTCAGACCATCATCTTCTACAGAGAGCACTTGCAGGTATTACAGGTTCTTTCTTTTCTGTCTCCCAAGCTGACATCCTTCTTGCTTATCCCTGAATCCCTTGGCCATTTCAATAAGAACACAGCAGACGAAGGGTTAATGGCTGTTACTGTCAGTACTTTGCCCTTCCTGGAGCCCAGGAAATAGGCATTGTGAGTCTAATTCCTCATCTAGGAAAGGGGTAGGGCGTGGAAGAGCTGGGGGTGGGCACTTCCTGGCAGATCATCGTGGGGAAGGGATCTGGCCCACACCGAGCGTCTGCTGCTCCATCAGGTAGACTGGGTAAGAATTGGGGCCTCCATCATCCTCTGCGTCATTGTCCTCACTGTTGTGGACCAGGGCACGGCGTGCTCGTGTCACATAGGAGACCTGGGGTTGGGAGGAGAAAGGAGGATGAGTACCATCTGCCATGCCATCCGCTTCCTCAACGCCCCTGTCTCAGGCCCTTTTCTCGTCCCTGATCCGGACCTTACGCTTGCCCCTTTCCTAAAGTTCCATCCAGACGTGATCCATATTGAAGCCCCTGATCCAAGACCGAGTCCCAGATCTCTTCTCCAGTTCTTTCTTCTGCCCCATTTCCCTCCTCTGCACCCCTTTTCCTCATCCACAGCCTCCCCCCCATTCTACATTTCATGCCCCATGCATCTATTGTCTTTCCCCAAGGTTTTCCCCACTGCTGTCCCTCTAATGCCATGCCCCCACCACGATTCCCTCTAGTTCTGATCCATAGCCTCTCCTCAGCTCCCTAGCCCACGAGTCCATTCCCCTGGGACATCCATGTTCCTTACCAAAAAGATTAGGCCAAGGAACACCAGGAGGAGAATCACAGCCACAAGGACCACAATAACTATGGCCCATGCAGGGAATGAATCGCTGTCCCCCGTCTCTCCAACATGGAGACCTCCCTGAGAGCCATCTTTGTTCTGGTGTGAGTGGCTCTTGTTGACTGGGGCTTCTGACATGATAGAGCTCAGCTCCGTGCTGGATGTGGAGAGGGTAAAAGAACCAGTGGGCATCTGATGGGTTTTATTTGGACGAGGAGAGGAAGAAGTGATAAATTTGTCTCCTGTAACCTTGATTGGAGATCTTATAGTCTCTGTGGCAGCCGTGGTTCTTCCTGGGTTTTCTGTAGGCTTTGCTGGGATTGGTGTGCTCTTCCCTTTGGTAGGTGTTGTCTTCTTTGTCTGTACATTAGGCTTTCCTGAGACTCCTGTGGTTTGCTCTGTGGCTCCTGTGGTCTTTGATGGGTGTTCTGTAGTCTCACCTGAGCCTCTTGTGATCTTCTCATGGGCTGATGTGCTGTGTTGTGCATGGGCTGATGTGCTGTGTTGTGCATGGTCTGTAGGCATTGCTGAAACTCTTGTGATCTTCTCATGGGCAGATGTGCTGTGTTGTTCATGTTTTGTAGGCATTGCTGGGACTCTTGTGTTCATCTTATGGGCTGATGTGCTCAGTTTTCCATTGTCTGTAGGCATTGTTGAAACTCTTGTGATCTTCTCATGGGCTGATGTGCTGTGTTGTGCATGAGCTGAAGTGTTGTGCTGTCCATGGTCTGTAGGCCTTGCTGAGACTCTTGTGACCTTCTCATGGGCTGATGTGCTGAGTTTTCCATTGTCTGTAGTCTTTGCTGAGATTCTTGTGATCTCATGGGTTGATGTGCTGTGTTGTCCATGGTCTGTAGTCATTACTGGGACTCTTGTGTTCATCTTATGGGCTGATGTGCTCAGTTTTCCATGGCCTGTAGGCCTTGCTGAGACTCTTGTGATCTTCTCATGGGCTGATGTGCTATGTTGTCCATGATCTGTAGGCATTGCTGGGACTCTTGTGATCTTCTCATGAGCTGATGTGCTGTGTTGTGCATGAGCTGAAGTGCTGTGTTGTCCATGGTCTGTAGGCATTGCTGAGACTCTTGTGATCTTCTCATGGGCTGATGTGCTGTGTTGTCCATGGTCTGTAGGCATTGCTGAGACTCTTGTGATCTTCTCATGGGCTGATGTGCTGTGTTGTCCATGGTCTGTAGGCATTGCTGAGACTCTTGTGATCTTCTCATGGGCTGATGTGCTGTGTTGTCCATGGTCTGTAGGCATTGCTGAGACTCTTGTGATCTTCTCATGGGCTGATGTGCTGTGTTGTCCATGGTCTGTAGGCATTGCTGAGACTCTTGTGATCTTCTCATGGGCTGATGTGCTGTGTTGTCCATGGTCTGTAGGCATTGCTGAGACTCTTGTGATCTTCTCATGGGCTGATGTGCTGTGTTGTCCATGGTCTGTAGGCATTGCTGAGACTCTTGTGAACTTCTCATGGGCTGATGTGCTGTGTTGTCCATGGTCTGTAGGCATTGCTGAGACTCTTGTGATCTTCTCATGGGCTGATGTGCTGTGTTGTCCATGGTCTGTAGGCATTGCTGAGACTCTTGTGATCTTCTCATGGGCTGATGTGCTGTGTTGTCCATGGTCTGTAGGCATTGCTGAGACTCTTGTGATCTTCTCATGGGCTGATGTGCTGTGTTGTCCATGGTCTGTAGGCATTGCTGAGACTCTTGTGATCTTCTCATGGGCTGATGTGCTGTGTTGTCCATGGTCTGTAGGCATTGCTGAGACTCTTGTGATCTTCTCATGGGCTGATGTGCTGTGTTGTCCATGGTCTGTAGGCATTGCTGAGACTCTTGTGATCTTCTCATGGGCTGATGTGCTGTGTTGTCCATGGTCTGTAGGCATTGCTGAGACTCTTGTGATCTTCTCATGGGCTGATGTGCTGTGTTGTCCATGGTCTGTAGGCATTGCTGAGACTCTTGTGATCTTCTCATGGGCTGATGTGCTGTGTTGTCCATGGTCTGTAGGCATTGCTGAGACTCTTGTGATCTTTTCATGAGCTGAAGTGCTGTGCTGTCCATGGTCTGTAGGCATTGCTGGGATTCTTGTGTTTATCTTATGGGCTGATGTGCTGTGTTGTGCATGAGCTGAAGTGCTGTGTTGTCCATGGTCTGTAGGCATTGCTGAGACTCTTGTGATCTTCTCATGGGGCGATGTACTGTGTTGTCCATCTTTTGTAGTCATGGCTGGGGCTCTTGTGATCTTCTCCTGGGCCGATGTGCTGTGTTGTCCATGGTCTGTAGGCATTGCTAGGGCACTTGTCGTTACATGGGCTGAAATGGTCTTTTGACCATGATATGTAGGTGTTGCTGGTGTTTGTTTATTCTTTTCAGTGGCTCTTGGGGTCTCTTTTGCTTGTTCTGTAGTCTTTATCAGTGTCTTAACTGAGGCAACGCTAGTTGTGTAATTAGCAGCTACATCATGATCACTAGTGCTTTCTTTTCTCTCTGTGGTACTAGTTGTCTTGTATGATGCCTTGTTTGTTGTGCTTTTTTCTGAGGAAGATGTGGGTTTTTTATTAATCTCTGGGGTGACTGGGTGGTGGTAAACAGTTGTTGTGCTTTTACTGTCTAATGTAGTGGAAGTATTTTCCAAAGGTGTTATAGTTTTGTGGGTTTTTCTCTTTGCTGTTGTGGTGCTTATTTTAGACTTACATGTTGTTTTGCTCTTGGGTTTTGGCGTTGAATATTTTGCATCAGCAGAGCGTCCATTTCGGATAATTGGGCCTTTTCCTTGATTGCTGGGGTTTTGTTCAGAAGTGGGAGGAGCTTTGTGAGGTGTTGTAGAGCTTTTGGAGTTATCTACTGGTTTGTGAATTGGCCTGAAATGTTGTGTGGCATTGCAATGGCGTTTGGGCTGGTGAGTTTCTGTAGATTTAGGGAGGTCTGGGCGGCTGGGTCCTGAATGAAGAGCAGTGTGGTCAGGACGAGTACTATAAACAAGGCTTGGAGTAGGCAGGGGCAAATGATAAGATGTTGGGGATTCGTCAGTGTTCTGAAGTTCTTGAAGTGTGGTAGCCCCTGTAAAGGGACAGAGTCAAGTAAGAAACTATCTCCATGTTCTTCACTGCTTCCCTGCCAACTCCATCTCTGGGGTCCCTTTATTACCGCAGATATATCCCTCCAGCCTGTCTCATCAGAATACTATGATATCTAATCCCCATTCTTACCTCTAGTCTCTGAACCTTTTTTCAGGCTGTGCCTTCAGCAAGAATGGTACTTCACCCCTTCTCCATCTCTACTCCTCAATTCTAAATTTTAGATCTTTCTGGCTTTATGGCATCTTTCCTGATCCTTTCAAGCAGATAAGATCTAGCTTCACCTCAGTGCTCAAAAATTTTTTGTTAGTTACTCAAGTTGCCATTAGTTGTCTGTGTGCCTGCCGACCTCTCCCCACTGCCTGCCTGTCAAATCATAAATTTGAGAGCAGATATTGAACGACATTTCGCTGCACAAGTGCTCCTTTAGGGTTTGTATAATACATATGGAATGGAGTTCCCCTTCCAAGGCAGAGCTGAGAAAAAAGGCAGCAAATATCAGAATCTTCACCTTTCCATAACATTCCTGGTCCATCCCAAATGGAACAATGTGAGAGGCTGAGGCCAGACCTTTGGCAGAACTTCCCATGAGGATTAGTAAGGGGACACAGGTGATAAGTGAGAGGAGGATAAGAAGAGGAATGGGGGAAATTTTCATTTTGATGATGGAGTTTGGTCTGGGCGAAGGGAAGTGGATGAGGTGACTCAGCCCTCTGGTTCCTTCACTGGACCCTCCTCTTAGAAGATCACAGCTAAAGCCATCTGGCACAGATGAAGGTGGCCTCTTAAATGAAAAAGATATCTGCTTGAGGGTCTTAAGAAGAGTGAACAAGGCAGCTGGATTCTGGGAGAAACTAACTGTTTAAGGACAGGGTGTGAGGGAAAACACCCCTATCAATGAACAGATATGGGCCTTAATTCCATGAAAAACAACCCATGGGGACAGAGGAGATGTCTCTGAGTGAGAGCCAAGAGGTCGCCGAAGAATGAGAGATAGTGTTGTTACATAACTGAGATTTCCAGTCTCTGTTAGCTCAAGGTGGCAACCACAACCTGGACCCAATCCCAATCACAGGAAACCACAGTCCACCCAGCTCCCCGCTGACAAGGACAGTTGGGGGCTGGGGAACTCAGTCCTTGAAAGAAATGTGGGTGGGACGAGAAGGGGGAGCTAGTAGACAAGCCCAAGGTCCTGAAGGGAGTGGAGGCTGGGGCAAGAGGAGGCTGAACTGTCAGGCCCTCCCTCCCCTGCGCCAGCCTCATTCTCCTACGCCCTGGGCAGCTGTAGCTGTCGGTCACTGGCCGCCGGTCACCAGTGCCTTCTCTGGGCCTGGCGCCCCACTGCTTGCCTCACACACATTCTCCTTCTGGACTCTCCTCTACAGTGATTGACTCCCAGCCCCCACAAGGCACTTCAGAAGCTGTCCACTGCCCAATTTTATAGCCAAGAAACTTGAGTTTCATGGAGAAATGGTGGCTTGCACACAATCCCCAGCAACAGCAAAGGCCAACCTTTCTTTTTTTTTTTAAATCCTCACCTGAGGATATGTTTTTATTGATTTGAGAGAGAGAGAAAGGGACAGGGAGAGAGACAGAGAGCAACATCAATGTGAGAGAGAAACATCAATCAGCTGCCCCCCATATTCGCCCCGACCTGGGATCAAACCCAAAAGCCAGGTATGTGCCCTCACCAGGAATCGAACCCACAGCCTTTTGGTGTCCGGGACGACGCTCCAGCCAGCTGAGCCAGCTGAGCCAGCGGCCAGGGCACCAATCTTTCTTTAACACCGACTGAGAGGCAAGCAGGTCCTGCAAATGCGGACACACACTCACTCACCTACTTCTCACAGTGACCCTTTGAGGTTCAGAGTTATTTGCTCTTCTCCCCTTTTTACATATGAGAAAAGAAGGTTTGGGGGTTAAGTAATCTCCTCAAATATCCTCAGCAAGCAAGAGGCTGAGCCAGAATGGAACACATTCCGGGCTCCTGGAGGCTGGGCCCCATCCCGCAGCCTGTGGGTCAGCCCAGTCCCAGGGCAGGAAGAGCGCGGACCTTTGGGGGGGGACCCCTGAAGGAAGCTGTCTTCACCACAAACCTGTGAGGCAAGTGTATGCGGCCTTGGAGTGACAGGTGAAGAAAAGAGGTTCAAAGAGGTTAAGTAATTGGCAAAGTTGGGCTTTTCCCTACACCCCAAATGCTTTTAAATGTGATAAGGGGCCCGGCCGGGCGTGGCTCAGCGGTCGAGCGTCGACCTAGGATCCAGGCAAACGGGGTTCAATTCCCGGTCAGGGCACATGCCCGGGTTGCGGGCTGCAGCTGATCAATGACTCTCATCATTGATGTTTCTATCTCTCTCTCCCTCTCCTTTCCTCTCTCTGAGATCAATAAAGATATCTTAAAAATAAATAAATAAATAAAGGTGATAAGGGGAGTAAATGCCCATGCCGCGAATGAAAGCCAGAGCGCAGGGCTGGGCCCCCTGCTGGTCCCGCGCCAGCCCGGCGCCCGGCGCCCTTGCCCGGGTCCCTGGAATGCCCTGAAGCCCTTGTCCCCAACTGTCTATAACAGCGATGCCGCTGCAGCCGCTTAGTGTGAGGCCTGAGGGGTGCATGGAGCACGGCCACCTCTTTAAAGTGTTTGCTGAATCTGAATTTCAGTCTTTGAAACCGGCTCACACTTTGCCCTGTTTTTCTCCTGGCAGCTACAATTGTGACCTCCGACGTTTGGAGGACCAATGGTAACTTCCGCTGAGCCCCTGGGACGGAGAGCTGGCGAAAGGCCTCGAGCCCCCCAGTCTGCGAGCTGGCTGCCATCGAACCACAGAAGCCACACCGTCAGTAACTAGACTCAGACAACTACATCTTAGGGTCCAGGTCCGCATCACACAGCGTGGAACCATCGGCTGTAAAATCGGACCCTCAAAAATGGCTCCTCCACTTACAATGAGTCAAAGTCCAGGTTCCTTGGCCCAGCCCTGAGGCAAATCAGAGACTGAACCCCCAGGGCAAGCCACCAGCTCTCCCCCGCAGCAGATCTGCCATTGGTGGTCACTATTTCCCTAGGAAGCTCTCACTGTGAGACAGTCATTTCCCTGACTACAACAGTGGCCTGAGAGGACCTTTTTGGTTGCTGAGGTGTGGGCAGAGAGGCGAATCTGGCTTTAGCCGAACACACTGAAGGTGGGTGCTTAACCTGGGTAAGAATGGAACAAAGCCCCCAACATCCGTCATGTTCAGTCCCAAAGGCCTGTTCAAGCTGCTTCACTCCCTTGTTTGAAAGGAAGGTGGACAGGCTGCCATCAGAGCAGCTGCCCCAAGAGCACCTGCTGTTCTCGCTGTCCTCCCCTCCGGCGGGGCCACTCCATTTGCGGGGCTGTGAGGGACGCCTGTTAAAATGCCTGAATAAGCTCAGTACACGCGGAAAACACAGACACAGTGAGAAAAGGCGGGAGGGAAGTGCACTCGAATGGTTGCCAGGGCAACTGAAAAGTATTAGGAGAGATTTTTCTTTTTCTTTCTTCTATTTTTCAGTTTCTAGAACAAGCATATATTGTTTTTGTCCCAGAAATTAAATCAATAGCATTTACTGTAGGAAACGTCCTTTTCGGAATCTCGCCAGGGCCCCTAAGGCCAGCGGCGCGTGTGCCCCTCAGACCAGCCACCGGCTGACTGCCTCGCCCGCAGGCTCGGGCCCTGGGGTCCTCACCGTCCGGGGCTCCCCGGCCTGCGGATAAATGGCTCCAGCTGCCACCCCCCCCTCTCTGCGGGACAGTCATTGCTCACAGGCGGTTCCACCGCAGCCCGGCCTCCAGCCGCTTCCCGCCACCCTCGCCCTTGTCTGCAGACCTGTTTCCGCCCCTGCCTGGCTGGCCCGCCAGCCGTCTCCCAGGCCCCCCCCGGAATTCAGACTTCAAGCCCTCACTGTGGCTTCCTGCGCTTTAGAGCAAATGTCCCTCCAGAGTGAACGCATGTGGAGTTGATCCCCGATTGGCTCCCTTCTGCCCTACGGGCCCGCGGCGGCCCTGTCAGCCCTGCGGGGAAAGGGGCGCGAGCTCGGAGCTGGGGGGCTGACAGCGCTCCGGTGCCTCTGTCCCAAGCCCTCAAAGTAGGGGGGAGCCGTCACGCCAGGACCCAGGCGGAAGGCACTGCTGAGACCTGGCAGAGGTGACCTGAAGACTCAGCCCTTGTGCAGACCCTCCCCCGCCTGGCCTGGCCTGTGCCCGGCTGCGCTCCCGAGCTGTTTCTGAGCGGAGTGAAATGCTCGGGCGGCTGCGCTTTACCTTCTGGGGCCTGCTCAGCTCGTCACCCTTCCCCATGCCCGCTTCCTCACCGAAGCCCTGGGACGTCTCCCGGCTGTGCAGCGCGGACAAAGCCGCGCACCCCTGCTCCAGCTGCCTGAGGACTGGGAGTCCTCACAGGTGAAGCGCCTGGAACCACACCTGGCACAGAGCAAGTGCTCTGTCGGCGCCTCTGATGCAGGGCCAGGCCCCTGCTTCCCATGCTATGGACCCGGGGCTCATTAAGTGGGCCTGGGTCAGGGCGGCACCCAGGCCCGCACGGAGGAGGGCTCTCAGGCGCCCGGAATGCGGAGTGGCCGAACCCAGCTTGTGCCTGCGGCTGGGGAAGGCCTCCGACCCCTCTGAGTGTCGCCCTGCCCGCCTCGCGGGGGACGGTACTGGCCGCCTCCAGGGATCTGGGGTGAAATGAGGTGCGCCTGGGAGTTCCTCGCCCAGCTCAGGGCCTGTCAGGTGCCCGCTGCCCCCCAGGACCGCCAGCCTACGCATATTCTGTATGCCCGCTAGAGGAAGGCCCTCTGGGCGCTGCAGGGCACAGAGCGCAGCGGGTGGTGCGGCCAGCGCGCCCCTAGGCCGGCCGGAGCGCACACAGCCTGGACC